TGTTCACAAGAGCCCCAAACCGAAACCATCTGGCCTCCTTTGATGACAGAACGGATAAACACCCTGTCGTGCACCCCACCAGGGAAGCCACTCAACAGTAAGAACAAGTATACCATGGACAAGAGAATGGCTCCAAACAACTTAAATGGCTACATGCTGTGTGATTTCACTTATACACGATTTCTGAGATGACAAAGTCATAGAAGTGGGAACAGATGAGTACTTGTTAGGGGCCAGGCTCACGGGAGGAAGTGGGTCTGGCTACAATAGGCAACAGGAGGGATCCTTGCAGTGACAGTGCTGTCCTGTATCTGGACTGCAACAACGTCGACCTGCTGGCTGGGCTACTGGACTACAGACATGTAAGATGTTACTACTGGTGGAAACGGAGTGAAGGGTAAATGACTTACAACTGCATGTGACTGTATCATTATCTCAATATTTTAATTAAAAGTGTACACATAATCAAGATAAAAACAGCCACAAGGCAGGCCTATTTAGCAGAGGGGAGGCCCCACACAAGGAAGGCAACCACAGGTGACCCTTGAACATGGGTTTGAATTGCACGTGTCCACATATACCAGATGTCTTTGGATAAATACCGTATAACACCGTAAATGTGTTTTCTCTTCCCTAGGATTTTCTTAATAACATTTTCTTTTCTCTCGCTTACCTTATTGTAAAAATATAGTATATAATACACAAGATATGTGTTAATCAACAGTTGTTGGGGAGGCTCCCAGACAACAGGAGGCTATTAGTGGTTAGGTTTTCGAGGTGTCGAGAGTTGTATGTGGGTTTTCATCTTGCTGGTGGTCAGGGTCCCAACCCGTCTGCTGGAGGTCAGTTGTAGCAGAGTCTGTGGCACTCGCGCCACCAGGGCACAGGCCCCGTGTGGAAGACAAGCCGAGGAGAGCAAAAGCAGGGCAGGGCTGGGGGCCCGGTCCTGAACAGGAAGACTGATGAAATGGAAGCGAGGTTCCTCATTCTTGGAGAAGGGAGTTATAAACTTAATAACGGGAAAAGCTAGAACGATGGTATGGTGATGGATGAGTCAACAGGAAGTACCAGTATGAACTCATGGTTTTCAATATATAAAAACAAATACGCCTAGGGGCGCCTGGGTGGCTTAGTCGGTTAAGCGTCCGACTTTCGCTTGGGTCATGATCTTGCGGTTCGTGGGTTCGAGCCCCGTGTCGGGCTCTATGCTGACTGCCAGCTCAGAGCCTGGAGCCTGTTTCAGTCTGTGACTCCCTCTCTCTCTGACCCTCCCCTGCTCATGCTGTCTCTCTCTCTCTCCTAGAAATAAATAAAAAAATATTTAAAAAAAACAAAAACAAAAACAAATACGCCTAAGAGTGGGTAGATATGAACGCACACTTATAACCTCTATTTCCTGGCTCTGCCTCGCAGGGAGCGTGGGACTGGGCTATCCCAGCAGCAGAGAGCAGGCACATCTTGGGTTTCCCAACAGCATTCTGCACTGGAAGGAACCAGGGCTCCTAGCAGAAATGGGCAACTTCAGGGCTGGGCCAGGAGGCGGGGAGCAGTGAGTGCCGATGTGTCCAGGTGACTCGGCTACAGGATAGAGGGGCTCTTCTGGCCCCATGGGGGACAGCGGAGTGTGAAAACAAATGACAGTGAAAGATTACACTCCCTGAACAGGTGAAGAAGCTACACCGGAACGGAAAGCAACTGACCGAACCAGCGGGAATGGAAAGCTCTTCCTTCCCTTCTCCGCTCCTGGAGAATGCCAGCTAAGAAACGCAGAAGCAGTGATGGGGTCAGGAAGCCTCCCCTTAGTCATCTGGCATCATGATGCTTAATTCAGGCAAGAGATGCGAGCGGATGGTGCAGGGCTGGGAGAGAGCTGGGGGAAGACCAGGGAGCTCACTGTGGCCTGGTACCTCTCCACCAAGTGTGAACTCGGAGGGAGAAGGAACAACTTACAGTAGATATATCTCGCAGTCACCACTGCACTGACGTGGTCAAACTGAGCACCCAGGAATGCAGCAAGATGGCGTTCTGGGTCACCTAACGGGATGTCGTGAGAAGAGAATGAAGTCATTTCTGTGATGTTCCTGCCAGAAACGCATAACCTTAATGTCGTTACGATGAAACAGCAGACAGACCCACAGTGAGGCATATGCTGCAAAGCACCTGGCCTGTAAGCGTCACAGAGGCCAAGGAAGGACTGTGGTCACAGAAAAACTGGAAAAACATGACAAGTATCCTTCTGCTATTAAAGGATGCTACTGGCACAGTTGACCAAACTTGAGTGGGGGTCTCTGGGTAAACAGTATTTAGGGATTTTTTAAAAATAGTTTATGTGAGTCTGAAATTCTTGCAGAATGAAAGAACTAACATTCAACATGAGAGATGACCAGCCATCACAGGCATTCTGATGGAAAAATACAGCACCATCCATGAATAAATAAATACATAAATAAACACTTGATTAGGCTCTACATCCCTCCACTAATCCAGTTTATAGGAAATAACATGGGAATAAAATCAGGAAAATATAGATTGTGGCAAACTCCATGGGGCAAAAAACCTGGTTTCTTCAACAAATAAATTGTAAGGAAAGAGAGGGAGAAACCTACAGGTAAAAGAGATGTAAGACACATAGGGACCGATTATACAATATGGCTTCTGATGGATCGCAACGCAAACATACATGCGTCTATGAGACAACCAGAAATCTGAACAATGTTTAGATATTGAGGATGTTAGGCGACTGGTGTTAAATTTTTCTAGTTATGGTGATGGTGATATGGTTAAGGAATGAAAGGAAGTAATACAGAAGCAGGGAAAGGAGTAGAGGAAGTAAGCGAGCCAAAATTGTCGAAGATGAGGGATGGCACCTCTTGGGGAAGGGGACCTCCCTGGGGGTGGGGTCTCCACTGGAGCCTGTATGGGCAGTGCTACCTCCACAGAGGTCTTTATAGGATTCTGTATACTTTTGTGAATGTTTGAAATTTCCCCACAAATTTTTTCCAAAAAGTAGAACCAACATATCAATCTAGGTTCATCTCATTCTAAAGCTACTTCTTGTTGAGTTGGCTTCTTATTTTCCTTTAAAAATAATTTAAATACTTTACTTACCTACCCCCTAATTAAATTTCCCTATGGTTCATTAGCCAACATTAAAAAAAAAATGCTTCCCAGCCCAATGTTAACCCAATAAGTATAACTACCTTTAGAGATGAGACTCACTCTAAAAAAGTTAGATATACAGTAAGTTTCTTATTTCTCCAGACTTTTTTCTATTTAAAAATTAGCTACATTTATGGGGCGCCTGCGTGGCTCAGTCGGTTAAGTGTCTGACTTTGGCTCAGGTCATGATCTCACGGTTTGTGGGTTCGAGCCCCACTTCGGGTTCTGTGCTGGCAGCTCAGAGCCTGAAGCCTATTTCAGATTCTGTGTCTCCCTCTCTCTCTGCCCCTCCTCTGCTCATGCTCTGTCTCTGTCTCAAAAATAAATAAAAAACTATTAAAAAATTTTTTTAATTAGCTACATTTTATACAATGAGAAAATTTTTTTAATTTTTAAAAATTTTATTTATTTTTGACAGAGAGACAGTGTGAATGGGGGAGGGGCAGAGAGAGAGAGGGAGACACAGAATCTGTGCTGTCAGCACAGAGCCTAACACAGGGCTCAAACCCACAAACCAAAAGATCGTGACCTGAGCTAAAGTCAGATGCTTAACTGACTGAGCCACCCAGGCGCCCCCAACAATGAGGAAAATTTCAGTTAAAGAGATGGTTTTAGGAGAGGTAAAACCAGCTTTGCCAGAGGATCACAACATGGGCATTACGACCTCTCCCAGGGCATCTGAAGATGCATGGTGTTTTCTGGTCGTCACTGCAGTCTGGGGATGTCACAGGACTCGGTCAGGGAGGCCGTCTTCCGCATGCTGGGCTCTCCTGTACAATGAAGACTTACCTGTCTCAGAAACCAAGAGAATCCCTGCTGGGAAACACCAGCCTTTAGGGACATTTCGACAGAAGAAGGGAGAGGGAAAAAGGTCTATCTGACCCAGGCTTGCTAGCTTGAGCATCCTTTATGGAAAAAACCCACATTATTCTACAGAGGAAGCAGTAAGTAGACACTGCTACTGCCCTTATCTGAGATAGCGCTTCTTTCTTAAACAGGGAACTAGCAGTAAGTATGGCTCTCAGACACTGTCCACAAATGGTGGTTACCAGTAGGCTGTCCCATCAGAGCCAGACAGGCGCAGACGGATGCAGAAGGGTCTACAAGGAGCTAGAATTCGGACAAGAGAAGAGGAGGGAGACACTGGTTACCTGATGAGAGAGGGCGCCCCCTGGTGGCATGGTCAGAGTCCAACGAGAGAGGAGTCCACAGAGCCCATTATTCTCGGCGAGCACAGGACCGCAATACCTTCAGACCCCTGCCCCTTTACTTTCTGTACGTTACCTAATCCGTCCCAGGGGAAGCCCTTCAAGGTTCCCCATACGGGAGCACTAACGTGAACAGGGCAGGACCAAAACCACGCAACAGTCTTGCCAACAAAAATGACCCGAGGTCTGGCTGACGGCTTGTGGCAGAAATCAGAGACCAGCCCAGTAGCTGTGTCACAGCACCCTTCTTTCCAGGGCTACCATGTGAAAAATCAAACGTGTGGGATGGGACGGAGGAGAAACAAACTGGGAGGCGCAGGGGTACCCGCTTCGAAGTGACACTTGCGAGAGATGAAAGAGAAAGCTTGACTCACAAGAGATGAGAAGAAGTCACTTCAGTCTAAGGATAATGCAGGAGGCAAACTGTTTTCAACACTCCTTCTCAAAAGACCTGTTATTCAGGATTTTGAAAAGGAGTTTTAATAGGTCAAAACAGGGAGGCAGAAATAAAGAAAAGCTGTAAGCAGTGGCTGCATCTGGCGGCATGAGGCCCCGAGCTTTGTCCGTCATGTCTGCTCCCTGTTTCATTAGACGCCACTCTGCACGAGACATCCAGTATATCAGAGTGCTTACCCTTCATGTGGGCGGCGTATGCACTGTCATTCACCAAAGTGGAGTGAGGTTCTTCATTTTGAGGCAAGATTCCCGCAGGCATGGTAGTCTGCTGGGGAAAAACAGATTACATTTTGAGAATTTGCTTATGGGATGTGCATTTATGAATCACCTACAAAGTGCTAGACTTCTGCTGCTAATAGTCATTAGCTCTGCTGTTTCCCCAGCACTGGCAATGTGGATAGTAGATGTGAGATGTGCCGTCAGTGTCAAATACGATTTTGAAGACCTAGTACAAAGAAGACTACAATACCAAACTACACGCCCGAAAAACAAGCAACCCAGTGAAGAAATGGGCAGAAGACATGAACAGACACTTCTCCAAAGAGGACATCCAGATGGCCAACAGACACATGAAACGATGCTCAGCATCCCTCCTCATCAGGGAAATACAAATCAAAACCACACTGAGATACCACCTCACGCCAGTCAGAGTGGCTAAAATGAGCAAATCAGAGAACTCTAGATGCTGGCGAGGATGTGGAGAAACGGGCACCCTCCTACACTGTTGGTGGGAATGTAAACTGGTACAGCCCCTCTGGAAAACAGTGTGGAGGTTCCTCAGGAAACTAACAATAGAACTCCCTTATGACCCAGCAATAGCACTGCTAGGAATTTACCCAAGGGATACAGAAATGCTGAGGCATAGGAGCACATGTACCCCAATGTTCATAGCAGCACTCTCCACAATAGCTAAAACATGGAAAGAGCCTAAGTGTCCATCAACAGATGAATGGATCAAGAAGATGTGGTTTATCTATACCATGGAATACTACATGGCAATGAGAAACAATGAAATCTGGCCATGTGTAGCAACATGGATGGACCTTGAGGGTGTTATGCTGAGCGAAATAAGTCAGGCAGAGAAGGACAAATATCATATGTTTGCACGTATAGGAGGATTAGGAGGAACTTGACGGAGGAACAAGGGGGAGAAGAAGGGCGGAAATGGTGGGGGAAAGGGAGAGAGGCAAACCATGAGAGACTCTTGAATGCTGACAAAAACTGAGGACTGATGGATGTGGGGGGGAGGGGGGATGGGCATGGAGGAGGGCACTTTGGGGATGAGCACTGAGTGTTATGTAGAAACTAATTTGACAGTAAACTATTTGTAAAAAAAAAAAAAAAAAAAGACTACAATAGTTCATTAATAATTTTTTACAGTGATTTTACATTGAAATATTTTTGATATACTGAGTTAAAGAAAATGTTAAAATTAATTTTCTCTGATTCTTATTATTAATGTTGCTCTTAGAAAATCTAAAATTGAATCCAAGCTTCACCTGACATTCCACTGGACAGTGCTACATTACAAGGTAAGGACACTATAGAGATAAAGTCACAGCTAACAACACACTCAATGGTGAAGGCCTGAAAGCTTTAATAATACCATAATAACTCTGTATGGGGACAGATGGTATCTAGACTTATTGTGATCATTTCGTAATGTATATAAACATTGAATCATTATGTTATACACCTAAAACTAACATAACTATACTCAATGTAAAAAATGAATTTATCAGGGCGCCTGCATGGTTCAGTCAGTTAAGCGTCCGACTTCAGCTCAGGTTATGATCTTGCAGTCTGTGAGTTAGAGCCCTATATCAGGCTCTTGCTGACAGCTCAGAGCCAGAAGCCTGCTTCAGATTCTATGTCTCCTTCTCTCTCTGCCCCTCCCCCATTCATGTTCTGTCTCTCTCTGTCTCTCAAAAATGAATAAATGTTAAAAACTTTTTTTACTGAATTTATTAATAAACTGCCTGCGTCAGGACTTAGCCCTTTTCCTTACTGGGACATCTTCCCCTTTATTATTGACTTAGAAGATGTTTTTTTATATTAAGAATATCAAGGCTTCATAAAACAAAATCACACACCAATGCATCAACCAAGAAATAAAGAAGAAAAAAAAATTACAGGAAACAAACGAAAGCAAAAACACAATGGTCCAAAATCTTTACGATGCAGCAAAAGTGGTTCTAAGAGGGAAGTTTATAGCAATATAGGGCTACCTCAAGAAGCAAGAAAAGTCTCAGGGTCCCTGGGTGGCTCAGTCAGTTGAGCGTCTAACTCTTGATTTCGGCTCAGGTCATCGTCCTAGCGTAGTGGGATTGAGTTGCACATCACGGTCTGCACTAAGCATCAAAGCATGGAGCCTCCTTAAGATTCTCTCTCTTTCTTTCCTTCTGCTCTTTTCCCTCGTGCTCCCTAAAAAAAAGAAGAAGAAAACTTTCAAATAAACAACCTAACCTTATACCTAAATGAGCTGGAAAAATAACAAACAAAACCCAAAAATAGTAGAAGGAAATCATAAACATTACAGTAGAAATAAATTATATAGAAACTAAAAAAATAAATAAAACATATCTAATAAACAATTAGTATCCAAAATACATGAAGAACTGATACAACTCAATGCCCAAAAAACAAATAATCCAATTTAAAAATGGACAGCAGACATGAACATTTTTCCAAAGAAGATATCCAGATGGCTAGTAGACACATGAAAAGATGCTCAACATCACTCATCATCAGAGAAATAAAAACCAAAACGACGATGATATATCACCTCATACCTGTCAGAATGGCTGAAATTTACAACACAAGAAACAAGTGCTGGTAAGGATGTGGAGAAAGGGGAGCCATTCTGTGCTGTTGGTGGGAATGCAAACTGGGTGCAGCCACTCTGGAGAACAGTATGGAGGTTCCTCAAAAAGTTAAAAATAGAACTACTCCACAATCCAGTAACTGTACTACTAGGTATTTACCCAAAGGATACAAAAATACTGGTTCGATGTTTACTACGGCATTATTTACAACAGGCAAACTATGGAAGAAATCCAAGGGTCCATTGATAGATGAAGGGATAAAGAAAATATGGTACAGACACAATGGAATATTACTCAGCCATACAAAGGACTGAAATCTTATCATTTGCAATGACATAGATGGAGCTAGAGAGTACTATGCTAAGTGAAATCAGAAAAAGACAAATACCATATGTGGAATTCAAGAAACAAAACAAAGAATAAAGATTAAAAAAAGAGAGAGAGAAGCCAAGAGACCGACTCTTAACGAAAAAGAACACACTGCTGGTTACCAGTGGGGAGGTGGGCGGAGGGATGGAGGAAGCAGGAGGTGCAGGTTAAGGACGGCACTTGTGATGAACATGCGTGGAAGCGCTGAGTCACTATGTGGTACAACTGAAACTAATATAACCCTGTATGTCAACTACCTGAGATTAAAATTAAAAACAATTTAAAAATCAGTTTATTTTAACACTTTATCATGTCTTATATATGTTTACGGTGTGAAAATATATTTTTGCCTAGCAGTCCTACTGTTTTATGTAGTCCAACCTATAATATTTTTCTGTAACTTCAACTTTTCTGCCACAATAAGAAAACATTCTCCAATACAACATGTAAATCCCAATTTAACGTCTCCCATTTTGGGGTGATAAATGCTGTTTGTTTATTGCAGGCTGACAATATTGCTAAAGTATAATAGTTAAACTACAAAATTAAAGGCGGCCCATCTTCAAAGAATATCATATGTATCCTAATGTGACTCTATAAAAGTCACCTTGTTAAAACGTCAGTAACACCCAGGGGCGCCTGGGTGGCTTAGTTGGTTAAGCGTCCGACTTTCGCTTGGGTCATGATCTCGCGGTTCGTGGGTTCGAGCCCCACATCGGGCTCTGTGCTGACTGCCAGCTCAGAGCCTGGAGCCTGTTTCAGTCTGTGACTCCCTCTCTCTCTGACCCTCCCCTGCTCATGCTGTCTCTCTCTCTCTCTCTCTCCTAGAAATAAATAAAACATTAAAAAAAAAAATGTCAGTAACACCCAAAGCAAGCTATACATTCAGTGCAATCCCTATCAAAATACCACTAGCATTCTTTGCAGAGCTAGATCAAATAACCCTAAAATTTGTATGGAATGACAAAGACCCCTAATAGACAAAGCAATCCTGAAAAAGTAAAAACTGGAGGCCTCACAACCTCAGATTTGAAGTTATATTACAAAGCTGTAATCATCAAGACAGTATGGTACTGACACTAAACCAGCCACATAGATAAATGAAACAGAATAGAAAACCCAGAAATGGAACCACAACTATATGGTCAACTGTTCCTCAACAAAGCAGGAAAGAGTACCCAATGGAAAAAAGTCTCTTTAGCAAATGGTGTTGGAAAAACTGGGCAGCAACATGCAGAAGAATGAAACTGGACTACTTGCTTACACCTACACAAAAATAAATTCAAAATGGATCAAAGACCTAAATGTGAGACAGGAAACCATCAAAATCCTAAAGAACAACAAAGGCAGCAACCTCTTTGACCTTGGCCATAGCAACTTCGTACTAGGCACATCGCTGGAGGCTAGGGAAACAAAAGCAGACATGAACTACTGGGACCTCATCCAGATAAAAAGCTTCTGCACAGTGAAGGAAATAATCAACAAAACTAAAAGGCAGGCTATGGAATGGGAGAAGATATTTGCAAGTGACATTGTCAGATAAAGGGTTAGTATACAAAATTTATAAAGAACCTACCTAACTCAACACCCCAAAACCAAATAATCTGATTTAAAAATGGGCAGAAGACATAAGCAGACACTTTTCCAAAGAAGATATCCAGATGGCTAACAGATACATGGAAAATGCTCAACATTACTTATCATCAGGGAAATGCAAATCAAAACCACACTGAGATACCACCTCACAACAGTCAGAATGGCTAAAATTAGCAACATGAGAAACAACAGGTGTTGACAAGGATGCAGACAAAGGGGAAGCCTCTTCCACTGCTGGTGGGAATGCAAACTGGGAGCCCCTCTGGAGAACAGTGTGGAGGTTCCTCAAAAAACTAAAAATAGAACTACTCTATGACCCAGCAATTACACTACTAGGTATTTACCCAAAGGATACAAAAATACAGATCAAAGGGACACGTGCACCCCAATGTATACAGCACTGCTATCAACAATAGCAAAACTATGGAAACAGCTCAAATGTCCATTGACTGAGGAATGGATAAAGAAGATGTGGCTTATATACACACTGGAGTATTACTCAGCAATCGAAAAGAATGAAATCTTGCCATCTGCAACAATGTGGATGGAACTAGAGTGTATTATGCTAAGCAGAATAAGTTAGTTGAGAAAGACAAATATGTGATTTCACTCATATGTGGAACTTAAGAAACAAAACATGAACATATGAGAAGGGAAGGGGAGAAAAAGAGAAGAGAGGGAAACAAACCATCAGACACTCTTAACAATAGAGAACAAGCTGAGGGTTGATGGGGGGGAGAGGGGCTACATGGGTGAGGGACACTGAGGAGGGTGCTTGTTGGGATGAGTGCTGGGTGTTGTATATAAGTGATGAATCACTGAATTCTACTCCTAAAACCAATATTGCACTATGTTAACTAACTAGGATATAAATAATAAAAAATAAAATAGTAAAACAAAACTCTTTGTAAATCATCTACATTTGTATAGCTTAAGTACTGGTTTTAATTAATTAATGTACTTATGTATTTACTTTGAGAGAAACAGAGACAGCATGAGCACGATAAGGACAGAGAGAGGGGGAGAAAGAGGAAACCCTAAGCAGGCTCCTTGCTGCCAGCACAGAGCCTGATGCAGGGCTTGATCCCACGAACTGTGAGATCATGACCCCAGCTGAAATCCAGAGTCAGACACCTAACCAACTGGGCCACCCAGGTGCCCCGTAAATACATGAATACATGCCTTTTATGAAAGGTAATTCTTCTAACCTAGGAAAAACAGTGTAACAAATGGAATATTTTCTTTAATGGTCTAATTACCTGAGAGTTACTATATGTACTTAGTGTTAAATTATAAATCTTCAAAGATCTGAGATACATAATAAACATCAGTTTGGGAAATAGTGTACTTCAAGCCCTTTCAGAGTCTGAGCGCTAAAGGAGAGAGTGAAGGGCGTCCACACAGCCCCTTTCCATGCTTGCAGTTGCTCGTCACGGCCTCTTCGTAGAAAGTCGGGCAGCCCCAGCTCCACAGCTCCACAAATTCCGCGGCCTTCCTCTCGGCCCAAACACCAGTCCCTCTTCTACCCCGCCTAACCTTCCAGCTCCCTCCAGGGACCCCGCTGCTTACCCGACAGCTGTCAGCTACTGGCCTCTTGTTCTCGTCTCATCAGACGAATTCTTTGGAGCCAGGACGGCAGCTCTACCGCAGCCTTCACGTTAGGCTCACACCTTTCCAGGCTTCCACCTGCTGCTCTGAGAATCACAAAGCCCTTCTTGTCTGGCTGGTGGGAACGTGAGCCCCTTCCAGCCATGCGAGAGCCACGGACGGTATCCTGTCCACTCGTTCCTGTGTCTGCCCCTGGCCTTGGGTGGTTTGCACGGTCAGTACTCAGTCAAACTGAGGCCAGAGGAGCCGGGCAGGCCCTCTGCACACGTCCACGGCCCTCTCAGCGCCACCCCTTCTCCCAGGGCCCTTCACCGCAAATTCCAGCCACCTCAGCCCTTGGCGCATATCCGAGGCAGCTCTGTGTCTGTCCCCATCCCACATGGCAGCCTGGGACCTGCCTCCCAGGAGGCAGCCAGGGTGCAATCCTGGGCTCACACATGTCTACTTCTCTTCTCTCAGAGATCATGGTCCCGAGCTGCCTGCTTTCCACTGTCCAAAACCCATTTTTGCATATTTCATCTGGTTTTCTAGTTGTTTAAGGCAGAGAGTAACCCTGCTCCCTGCGATTTCACCGTGGCTGGAAGCAGAACCCCCCTGGGCCCTGTCAGGGGACTCTGCAGGAGCGTCCACTGTGGATTAACTCTGCGTGAAAACACTGACGCCCAGTGCAGCCAGAGGCACTGCTGACCGGGCCGTCCTGCACAGTCACGGGGTCTGGGTTTAAACCTTGACTCTGTTCACTGCCGGCCACAGGAACCATTTAAGCTTCGATTTTTTCCCCCTGTAAAGTGAGGATTATTAGACCGACTTTTGTAGCTTGTTGTGAGGATAAGGAACAACTATGTATGTGTGTGCTTCTAACAATGTCTGGCATATAGGTACCAATATATTACTATTTCAGTTAGCAAACCAGTATCGTGATATTTTACGGGAACCTGTAAAGCACTGCCTTTACTGCGTGTAAAACACTCTGCCGGTAGTGAGAGTCGGAGGGCCTTCTCAAGAAGATTTACGA